GAATTTTGCTTCGGCCATGGGCTTTTAATTTAAGTGGTCTTTGTATCCAGGTCTACTGGATTGAAACGTCTAATGGATATGGGTTCTTGTGATAACCCATCGGGGTTTATGGGTTTGGAAAGAATAATGACATGGGCTAAGTAGTTGGTCGAATAGATATTTAGGGTAGGTAGCTCTACCGTCACATGGTGGTCATCCCCGACTCATATGAAATGTTTTTGGTGTTTTTGGTGTCACCGGTTGTATACACCTGTAAGTTTATTGCTCTCTCATTATATATGACTAAGACATTTTCGATCTCCGGGAATTTGAGTACAATCCATCATACACAAGTATAATTTTGTTTCTTTTATAAGCCCAAAATATTATGTTTTTCCTTTTGATTTATTGACATTTTTTTACTTGATGTGACTGTTCACCTCATTGGTTGAATAGATATTAGGGTAGGTAGCTCTACCGTCACATGGTGGTCATTCCCGATTTGTATGAAATGTTTTTGGTGTCACCGGTTGTATACACCCATAAGTTTATTGCTCTCTCATTATATATGACTAAGACATTTTCGATATCTGGGAATTTGAGTACAATCCATCATACACAAGTATAATTTTGTTTCTTTTAGAAGCCCAAAATATTATGTTTTTCCTTTTGATTTATTGACATTTTTTACTTGATGTGACTGTTCACCTCATTTGCCATATAAGGTGTTATAAGAATGTAGTATATAAATGTGGTAAGAGTAGAATTATTCAAAAAGAAGAGTTCATGAATCTTCACAAGGTTTTTGGTGTCGCAAATATTGGGGAAATGTTCCGTTTCAATTAAGGCTAAAGTTTTGGCCTCGATCATATTCTGCGTTCGTCAGGCTGTATCACAAGAATCGTTCTTGTTGCTCGACATCCTTTTTACATGTATAAATTGAATGGTTTGAGGGAGCTTTCTGTTTTGTGCACAAAATGTTGTGAAATAATGGTTAATTGTTGTTGTAATTTTTAACAAAGCTGTTAGTTGTATTAAGTAAATTCCCTTGAAACTATTACTGTCGATTTCATGAAAGACCATCCACAGTTTCAGCAAAAGAAAATGTTACAAAGATTTTGTCAGTCGAGTGATTAATAATATCACTTGTTTGTACCACTGCATCTTTCTTTGATATATATATATATATATATATATTTCTTGTGTCCCTTTGGTTGGTTGAAGAACAGTTTGCTGCTCAATCGCTTAAAAAGTTGAAGATGAAGATATAGGAAAAGGAAGGAACTGTGGTAGCCCACGATTTGCCAGAAGAGAACACACAGAAATGTGATATATATGAACCTAGTTGAAATTCCAACATGCCTACCCTACACACCTCCCAACATACATGGCTCTCCTTGACCAACACCCAACTCTCTGACTCTCTCCTCTTCAAGAGGAAAAGAATCAAAGTAGATAGCAAAAGCATTATGGTCAAGCTCAGATCTCAAACAAACCCACTTCAAAATACATGATCATGATTCATACATAACAACAGCAAACTTGTACAGTCTAAACAAAAAGATGAATAATATCATCCATGCAGCATTTAATACCAGTGCACCGTGCACGTACTTCTTGTTCATCTCTCCTCTGCTTTTTCATGTTGACATTTGTTTTATGGTGCTGTCAATTCAAGATCTACAAGGCTTGACTTGATTGATGAGTTTGCTTGCACATCATTCCCTTTTTTTTCTTTTTGAGTTGAAAAAACACCAATGGAAAGGAAAGTGGTTTACCTCATTTTATTTACTACTTTTCCTTTCTTCAGTAGATAGATAGATTCATGCGAAAGTTATTGCCTTTTCAATAAAGACATAATATATTTTTTTTAAATATAAATATTTTAGCAAGACGTTTCTTTCAATCCATCTGGATGGAAATTATAATAGGGAGTTTCACTAAAACATCCAAAATGGAGACTGAAATTATAAAAAAATTCAACACCCAAAACACTTTATAAACACACCAAAAATTCATCATTACACACACTCAAAACCCATTTATAAACACACCCAAAAAAGATACAATTGTTGATTTTGGGGTTGATTTTGGGTGTGTTTCTATGTTTAAATAGTGTTTGAGTTTTTTTTATAAATACATGTCTAGGATTGGGTTTATTTATAAATTTGTAATTATAATATTCATGATCTAAAAAGAAACCAAGACAGAAAAAATTATCAGAATTAAAGCAAGTTAGGTCTCTTCCAATCTTCCAAACAAAAAGCCCTTTCCTTAATTATTCAATTATGCCATGCTTGTTGTTTGCCTGCTGGTGGCTGCTGATAATAACGGTGACTTGAGAACTACTTGATTTGATACTTGCATTGCATCATTGATTACTCTGCTCTTCATCTATCCCCTCCCCTTCTAAGTTGTATTATTAGTCCTCAATTTTCCATGTTATTATAATCACTAGTTATTTCCCTCTTCTTGTAGTTGTAGTTGTAGAGCTAGAGCTTATTCTATATGGATTAAGTGCTCTAAATATATATATATATATATACACATATAGTTGGTTCTTAATGCAGATAATGACTTGTTTAAAAAAAAAAAAAAAAAAATTGCAGATAGTGACTGATTCATATTTGGAGTGGGGAGGGGAGCATATTAATATTATTTGAGTACACTGCTGATTATATGTAAATATAAAGTGTTTCCTTCCTGATTCTCCTACTAATACTATAGGCTATAGGGCTCTAGTACATGTGAAATTTGTCTCGTTTTCAACAGAGTGGTCCCTGATCCTGCTTGCTTCTTAAATTTGGGGTCTCCACCACCTCCATCCATCTTCTTTTGGCTTTATTTCAATGTTTTATTAATTAAACCCGCCATTCATGGTTAACTGTATCAAAATCAACCAACCACTAAATGCATAATGAGGGCTAGGATTCATGGCTTCTTTTGCTAATTCCTTAATTAGTAGGGACTAGGGAGGGAGGGTGATACATGAACATGCACAAAATGGCAGATGCTGCTGGAGATACAAATTAAGCTTTTCGAGTCAGTGGTAGCTTCTGAACTTATTAAAGTTAAATATTTAATTAATTTGTGTGTAATTGGAATTGGATACAGCAGAAAACTCTGCTTGCTTCCTTGCCTGGTTCACTGAATATATATATCTCTCTTTTTATAATTTCATGCTTTCCTAGTAAACGGCCTACTTCTCAAAAGACTCTCCTCCACTACCAGTGTACCACTAGCCCAAGTAGCCATGTTCTGTTTCATACTTCCTGCTAAACAGTAGACTGACCTCCCCAAGTCAAAGATTTTATGCAGATCTTGGGGCCTCCTGCCTTGCCATTAAGCATGACTTATGTATCAACAAAATGAAATAATAATATTTCCGTGCCTGTTCGGGGTTTGGTTGCAATTTTTTTTTAAATTTATAACTAACTATAGATGTTCGGTTCGTTTTAGCCCTGACAAATTATGTTAGAGAAAAAGAAAGCGAGAATCTTATGGTGAGACATGGGTATTTCTTTGTATATTCTAATTTACGTTGTACAATTTTGTCATCGTTTTTGCCCTTGTATCATATATCTGGATTGTTTTGTCATCGTCTTTCGTCCATGGATCAAATGTTTTCCCTATAATTTCCACGTGCAGGTGGGATATGATCTTATCTTTTCCGTTTTCAATTGTATATCCCATAATTCCTTTGATCCATCCAACCAACAACCTAAGGAATTATAAGAGTATCCTTAGAAAAACTTTAATTTAATTTATAAAAAATAAAAAAGCATCATGTGAAGCAATTACTTTAGTTTGTCATTATTTTAAGTTTTACAAGAACAAAGCAATTACTTTTTCAGTTTCCAACTCAACAACCGGAAAAAGTGAGTTGGTTCAAAGGGCACAAAATGTCCAGACATCGATGCGATGCGAGAGAGCGAGCAAGCAAGCATGTACGGTATTTGAGTACGCTGCAAATGCCAATGTGTTGAAATTACCATTCTACCCTACAATAAAGCTGTGTCTGGAGGACTCGCTGCAGCAGCAACGGATGGAATGGAATGGAAGAAGCTGATATAATATTTTAATATAAGATGATGATGATGAAACTATCATATATATATATATATATTATATATATATATATATCTTTTAATTCCTTCCTGGTCCAAGCTCCAACAGAGGTATTACTATAAAACCAAAGATTTATTATGTGGAGGAGAAGGTCAAGTGGGTCTGAAATCTGAACCATCCATTTGGTGGGACAGCAATTAAAGGTTGCTATAATGCAACTTTTGGACCAAATTCAGCAGAATATTCCATGTTATTGTTACCCCCACCCCACGCCCAAACCAAACTATAGAAAATGAAGTGCAGAATCAGGGTTTCATTGGTGAACAACCATAAAGACATACATGATACATGGATGCAGATTCAGGGTACTAGTGGTGTTTTCAAATTTGTAGACTGACTGACACAACACAACATTGTGCAATACTTGATGACCCTCAAATCTAACAGAACATGCATGATCGTATCGATCTGCTCCATAATTTATGTTGCTTGCTTGCAAAATATTTCTCAACAGAACAATCCGTTAAGAATCTCTGTTGCTGTTTAACAGTTTTAACTGCAAAACTGTTGAGTAAAGTTAACCAGAGAGAGACAGAGCAGCATAAAACATGGGCATGCACGCACATCAGACAAAACCCAGAAAAGAAAACAAGAGCAGGTGAAACAAGAAAAAGGGTGACAGCCCCAATTATAATATTATTAATATTCCGTCTCCCACAGGGTACATTGGGGTACCACCCCACACCACCACCGTGGGGAAAGTTTCAAACTAGATCAGATTTACAAATTCCAAACCCCTATAATTTAATTTCAATGGGTTTTTTCTTGAATTTCTTTTTGGGTCAGACACAGAGAGTCGTTGTAATTTCAAATTTGTAAGAGAACAATCCCATAACAGAGGGAAAAAAAAACAGGAGAAAATTAAAAACAGAGAAGCAGTAAAGCAGCTTCATCTTGAATCTTCAGCCATTTTCTCCCAAAGCAACTAACAAGCAAGGCTAGGCTAGGCTAGTGGTGACTTGAAAATCTTGTCTTTTTCACCTGAGCATGGATGTTAATGACTGAAAAGCAACTTCTTCACAAGGAATTGTGAGACCCATGTCGTGGTCAAATCCAAATTCTTCTTCTGCTTGATGAAGCAAGCTTTGGAACTCAGGGCGAGTCAAGAAGGAGATTGGTATAATGTATCTGCTTCTGTTTTCTCCAACATAAACCACAAAATGGCCCTTGGGGACATCCAAAGGGAGGCCTTGTTCATCATAGTGTTGCTGTTTCTTCCCCAAGCTTGAGCACCTCTTGAGAATTTGCTTCAGCACAGCTGTTTGTGGAAGTCTGTTTGATTTTCTGATAGCCATTTGATCTGTTTTTTTCTTTTTGAGTAGCTTGTGTCTGTTTCCTCAAATCAAAATCAAAATTAAAATCAAATTGAGGATTCGGAGTTTTGAGTAAAAGGTGAAGAAGGTAGAGGGGGTGCGTAGGGGTATTTATGGTGAGACACTGAGGCTTGAGTTGAGAAGGTAGAGAGTAGAGAGAGGAACAGTCATGTGGGGTTGTAGGGATATAAGACAGAGAGAGGGTGTTTATAGGGGTTTGTGTGAGCTCAAAGACATGCAGGGAGCCAACCCCATTGGGTTTACATCCTCTTGTTGCCCCCCCAAAGGACAACTTGGTCCCTCTTTCCTCTCTCTGACTTACATTTCAATTTTCATGCAACTCTCTCCTCTCCGGTAATATTTTTGTCTTCGTTAATGTCCTTTCACTTTGAGAAACATCCCACCAATTTCCTACTATTGCTCCTTTTCAAGTTATTTACTTTAATTAGTCCTCTTCCATTCAAAATTTTGTCTCAGTATAAAAGGGAAATAGGGCAATTTCCTGGAAATTGATATTAAAAAGTAGTAAACTATAATGCAATGTCCAGTCCAGTGTGTACTAGTCTAGCAGCCTATGGCTACACTTTTTCCAATTTTCATGCTCTCTGTTTAGGACGCTATCGGGTCTAAGTTCAAGGACTAATAAAACCATTAATCCTATTTCAACTTTCAACCAGGGTTCATAGTTGGGTTTGTCTCCTCTTTTTGTGTCGTGTGACACATTCTTCCTTCTTCTTTTTTCGGTTTCAGCTTTGAAATCCCCCAGAGCCTTATTGGTAACTTTTCCCACATCCCTCTCTCTCTCTCGCTTTCTCAACAAATCACAAAGACCTAAGCATTGTTGTTCTGATTATGAGTTAATTATTCCAGGCCCTGGCCCATGAACAATTCCGCTTGCTAATTGTCAATAGTTATAACCTAATAAGGTTTTCAAGTAAAACTGGTAACTCCTAATCCTAGACCCAGTCATAAACCATTATTTCCATTCAAAATGAGTAAATTGAAAACTGCATGTGCATGCATGTAAGCGTACGACCAGTTGTTGGGCTTGGTCATCTTGAATGCCGCTGGGTTCATCATTTTGTGTTTGTTTCTACTGTATATAAATCATTGGCAGATGAGAGGTGCAGTTATTCACATGCATATAGCTAGCTATTGATGCATTGCTTGCAGGATTTCAATGGGTTAATAATCCCGAGCCCCACCACCCCCCCGTGACAGCAACGTACATTACACCAAAATAACAATGAATGAATTGACCAGTTACAAGGATTATTATTCTTAAACCTTTCTGGTGGTATCAGTAAGCATTTCCTTGAGAGACTTTTCTGGTAGGCACACAAAAGAAGAACATGAAACACGATCCTTTTTTTTTTCCTTGAGCTAGATAGCTAGGCATTGAAGGTGCTTGTACTGCCTTAAGTAGGAAAACAAGAAACAGAGACCTTCGCAAACAGAGAGAGGATATAAACATAGACGACCTACCGGTTCCAACCACATTAATGTTCAATTTGAACACCAGTAGAAAGAAACTCAACCATAAAACCATTAAAATTTGAGCCAATTACGCAAGCAAAAAGCATGTATCCAAAATTCATGAAAAGGGCTTCTTAAAGAGAAAGTAAGTAAGAAAAGCTAAGCTAACAGAGTTAAAAGGGCTGGCTAGCTCGGAAAGGTAGTGTCTTTTTCTTGAAGATATTCTTCTTCTAGCTCCTTAATCTAATATAATGAAGGAATTAGCTTGAGGATTACATGACAAAGAATTGATGATAGACGTGTGTAATGTGTTGTGGTCCTCGTGCTAGTACGAGCATCAGTACATCCAATACCAAGACAGACAGGAGCCTAGTCATGATCAGCTCTGCCTCTGGCTGGCTCTATGCATAATTAATTAATTGGTATGAGGTGGATTCATTAAAGAGAGATGCCATTGCTGATTGCACCCCCACCCCCATGTTCTGAGGCCCAGAAAAAAGCTTCTGTTTCTCAACTATAACAATGCCCTTTTAAATGCTGATACGGCTATGTCCTGCAATGTCCTCTCTTCAGTCTTCACTACAAGTTTCTCCCTTTCCCATTTACCAACTATCTTAATATTTATTTCAGTGTAAGTGAATGAAAGAGAAGTGAGAAAATCAACTTATTTTCCACTTCAATTTCATCCACTTACACTCATTTTTTAGTTATAAAATAGAGTATAAGTAGATAGAATTAGAGTGGGGAAACCACCGCTCTTTATTTATAGTACTTAGGTTTCGACGGCTATGATTGCATTGCATGCGCCTACTACATCGCGTGTAAGGCTGCAAGCCACAATACTTGTCTGTCCTTTACACCTTCCCGTTTACGGAATTAACAGGCTCATCATCATGAGTGGTTAACCCAAGACTTGACAGTTGATTGATTGCATTTGGAGCTTTCATTGCAAAGCGTGTTCATATATGTCAAATTTATATATCGATTGTTAATGTCTATAAATTATAATTTGACTGGGCCATAGGCTTTGCAATGTTCAAAAGAAACTACCACCCCCCATGTTCTGCGGTTTGGATTGGCTGGTAAATGGAGGATAAAAACAGCAAAACACGAGGATATGGACCCGCCATTTGTCACCCAAGCACACTCACTGACTCGGACTACTGAACTGTGCTCCCTCTCTCAATTACCAACCGTCTTCTTTTTTGATCTAATTCTAGGTCCAGACTCCAGGGTAGAAAATGACCCAACTATCACATGTCTCTGCCCCCAACATCTCTTCTTCTTTGTAAAGAAGAATGGACAACACAATATTAAGGCACTTATTACACTTGAAGATGAAAATAAAATAGCCCAAATGTTGTTGCTTTGTTGATAGGATCCCCCCATAATAATTGGTAGGGAAATGAGACTATATGGTTCTCATGACTCATGACTCGTGATGCAGAGTGAATAGAAAATGATCCTTCATGTTCATGAAATGCCAATCAGACACAAAAACATGTTCCACAGTCCACACTGAGACTAAGAAAAGTTTGAGTTCGACTATACTTAGGTGCCAAATGGCATAAAGCTACATATTGTACCATATGCCTCTCTACCTACACTTGACCTACATCTACATATAATCTGTACCCTACCATAATCGATCTACATCAAACCCATTCATCTTGCGTACACTAATATGCAAACGTCTCTCTTCAAATTCAAAGAGAAAATTCAAATTTGATGAGAATGGAATTTATGGAATGGCCCCATTACAGCTCACCTTGGAACTCAGAGCACCAAAGGACTTTACAAGGATGTACCTCAACCATATGTATGTGCACATGTACTGTATTACAAATAGGGGGAAATTTTATATGTCAAGTTCAAATTAGTCTATAGGGTACATAACTGACCCACCATATATACATGGCAAGGACACCATTCTACTTGGAGGGTCCAAGCCAGGTTGGATAATTTGTTGCATGGCCACCATTATAGCCCAACTACAGCAGTGTGGAGGCATAAATGGAGCAATAAAATATAGGAACCAATGAGTTTTGACATAATTTGCTAGCTAAAGTAGATTGTGTTGAAACTGGTATGTTTATTTTTTATTTTTAAAAATATATATTCAATAATTCAATAATTGTTTTAAATTGTCTTTATTAATAGGAGTTATTTTCTATTAATATGGGCTGAATTTTTTTTCAACTGATGCATTGATGTCCTTCAAAGCCCACAACGTCTCTTTGTGATAAATATTGTATATATATATATATATATCTTATATAGCTAGGAGAGAAAAGATACAGACCATAGCTGCTGCCTTCCTCCTCTTCATATCTTTTTCTTATTTTCTAAATTAAGGTTTCTAAGCAACATAAAAAGGTGTTTGTATTCGGGTCCTTTCTTAGTGCATGGAAGAACCTAGATAGAGTAGATTCTGGGGCTGTTTTATCCTGGGGACGTAGTGGCCTTTTCTGAACTGTTTGCACAAATTGGGCAATCGCGAAACGTCTTAAAGAGAGTGACTTTGTACGCGACTCATCCCAAGAATCGTTCACAGCTTCACAATGAATTTTTCCGGATAATATTATTCTTAATTTTCTCTGCATCAACATATTGGATAGTCAAAAAGCAACTACCCATATAAGTTGATTTGAACTTTACAGTTAAAGAGATCGAACTTTAGACCTCTTTTAATTTTAAAAAGAGAAATATTAATAAACTAATAATTAGTTTGTTTAAACTTTAAGGAGAAATTTCAAGTTTTCAACCACCTCTCAAGTGAAGCAATAACAAAAGAAAAGAAAAAGGAGATTTTAAACCTCTAACTAGTGCTCACCAACATTGTATAAAAGTAACAGTGATAACTAACATATGAGTTTCTGTTGACTTCACCATGTGGTCAACGCACTCAATAATCGTAACGAATAATAATGCAGGTAACGAATGATGTTGTGCGATTTGAAAACCACATGTGTATGTATATATACGCACAGACATAGGATCATAAATGAACTGTTGGAATAATTATTTGCAAATTAAGACAAGTAAATTAGTTTCACGTGCCAAGTAATAAGTTTCATGGCTGGTAGTACTGGAAGCCATTATTAAGGGCAAGTTTGGCATTGATGTGCTGTTAAAATAATCGTTGTCAGATTTGCTGTGAGAAAAATCAGTTGTGATAGAAAGTAGTTTGGCGTTTGGTAAACTTTTTGTTATAAGTGTTATTTATACTGATTCTCGTATAATTAGAAAATGATTGCCGCATAATCATTAAACACAATACCTCTTCAAAATTGATTCATGCATAATCAGAAAATGAAAGCACCTTATTAGCTGCTTTCTCTTATAGCTTTCTCTCACAACAATTTTTAACAATAATTGATTTTCTTATAATTTACCAAACGAGTTGGGCTTTCCAAATTTTTTTTAAAATAACTTATCACCTCAAATAAGCAATGTCTAATAAGCACTAAGCTCCAAAATCCTTGTTCCGTTCGAACAAACCTGGGCTTAATTGCATAACAATGGAATTCCATCGCAGGCAAGCCAAGCATTTTAAATATGAAATTGAAATGTGACCGGCCCAGCCCAAAT